ACACGTACCTCCATTCTTTCCTATACTGAGTTAATCAAAAATTTTAAACTTTTGGATGTTTCATTCCCACCAGCCGCTAATGCTGGTGGGCGGGTAGTCTCTCGGGACTACGCTGGAAGGTAGGGTGGAAGGCCCTCTTCAGCCATATATATATAATATACGTATGTATAATTGCTACGAACTGGATATCAGTATGTAATGTAATGTAATGTAAGGTAATAAAACTACTTAATAAGCTAAAGCTACTACTAACTATACATTTACGAAATGATTGTTCTTTTTCAAGCACTCTATCAAGTTATAGTTATTTAAGTAAGTACAATTATATACATCTCAGATGTAACACGTTCTATTTATTTAATTAATTATTAATTTTATTGTGCAACAGTGTCGAATTTGTGATATTTCAATATATGATACATTTTATTGTTTCCATCAAAATTCATTTGGATAATTCAATTACTAAGGTGACAATATTTTCAAACGAGAGCAAAACGTAAATGTGAAACACAAATTAAAAAATAATATACGTGCTCAAGTGTTAGAGATGGTGACTTAATATATTGAGGTGTAAGATAATCATACTGAAATTAAATTAATTATCACCTTGTTCTGATCAATTTAAAATAAGAGTTTTTTCAAAAAACTGAGTGTTTAGTAGTCACATTTGTTGAATGTAAATTTTTTTAAATCACCTCTTCATTTTTCATTTATTAATTCACTAATATCGTTTATGTAAAAAAATTGAAGGTATTATAATACAATAATCGCATTGATTATTTATTACTAATTCCTACTATTGTAACAATATGGAAAGTAGTAGTATGTCCTTAATTCGAACAATAACAACAATAATTCTACGTGATGTGCAAAACTGCGTTTTGATATGTAAGCATCCATTTAGTTATAAATCAATGCTAATTTTATTTTGTTGTTTTAGTTTTTCTAACATGGCTCTTACTTTTTTTTTTACATGAAAGAGCACTCACTTCCAAAACTAATGTAGCACATCCTACTTACCACTAAACTTAATTACCATTTTAGAACGAGCAACGGTTAAAATTTTTAATACACAGTTAATTTTGGTAGCAAGTGCTATCTTCTATTTGCAGGAAAAAATGCAAATCGTTATTTAAATAGCATTTGCACATGGTGGCCATTAATAAAGCTAGTTTAAAATGCGTTTGTCTTCAACCCCTAAACTTCTTCAGGCAAAAAAAAAACATTTCTGATGGAACAATTTTAAGTGATTGAAATTTATAAAAGCAAAAACATATTTTTTTATACCAAAGCAATTTTGAATATGTTACAGCTAATTTTCTTAAAAATTAACTTTATGTGGGAAGTTACATTTTAAACTGTCCTAATTACAGACCGGCCATCCTGAGGAACACGAATGTCTAATTTTTTTGTTATCAGTGATATGTCTGCAGCGAATAAAAACCCTGTCCTATAGCCTTATTAAAATAATTCGTTTAAAAAAATACATAGATACGTAGTGATATGGACAGCACTTTGAATTTATAAATTTATTTGTAAAGAATATAACGATATTGTACACGTATTTACGATACTATAAAGCATGAAGAGGAACTGCAATATTATTTGTTACATAGCCATTAAAAAGTACTTTTTAGAAATAAGAAAAAAAAAACAAAAGGTTCAACTAATTCTTTTTTGTGAAGTCTAGCAGGTAATTGAGCAAAATTTGGCCTACAAGCGAAGAACGGAGAATTTTAAATATATGTATTTCTGCCTCTTCGAATCAAATTATTTTTCTTTTTTAAGAGGAAAAAGTTTACTTTTTATATCACCCTGTATACTTGTGTGACGAAAGCGAGTAAAATATTTAGATAATTCCACAATTTCTACTTTTGAAATTATGTATGTATATATGTATATAAAACCTGATAAAAATAAAAAGTTGGTTCTAAAAAATTGTTTTCTTTTGGCTATTGTAAATGTGTGTAGTGTTTTAAAAAAGTAAAATACTTAAATATATTTGATAGAATACTCTGTACCTGTGTTGATGTTCCTAAAGGGTAAAACTGAGTCAAGCGTGGCAAGACGGGACGACGCTCTTGCACGTCAGCTTCGTGACTCGTCGGGTAATTCCGCCTGGCTGCCAACACATTATGCTAAGAAAACCGACGCATTATTCGGTCAGTCTCGTGACTCGTCGGATAATTTCAGCCCACCTAGTCGCCAAGATTTGGCACTCTCTCCATCTCTGACATCTATTGTCGTTTCTTTTATTACACGCATACAAGAGCGTCGCCAAAATATAAAAACTTGTTTACTTTCATTTTCAATTTCTTCAATAAAAATCAATTTCGATGTTTCTCATCTGCCAGGCGTCCCGTAACTGTTTTTTTTTTTTGGTGGACGGATTGAACTATAGATTCAAACACAAATAAATACATACTGTTACGTGAAGGGCTCATCCACCAATTTTACATTTCCCCCTTGTCCGATAAAAAATATTGTAACAATAACACTTAATTATGATACTCACGTTTTGTACAAACAATAAATACAAAAACGGTATTACTAATAACTTATACACATCATTTACACAAAAATCCAAACATAAAATTGTCGATATTAGAAATTTGTCAAACGCTTAGAGCACCAGATAGAGATGATTTCTTCCTTGTTTAGCAACACTTTTCCATGTACAGAGTGTTTCGTTGTAAAACAGAAGAACGATTTGTANGTATCGTTCGTTTCTATATCTGTCTCTCTTTTTCCATGAACATAAGCACAAGGCTTGGTTACGGAAAGGGCGGGCTTGGTCATGGAAGAAGAGAGACAAGTATCGTTCGTTTCTATATCTGTCTCTCTTTTTCCATGAACATAAGCACAAGGCTTGGTTACGGAAAGGGCGGGCTTGGTCATGGAAGAAGAGAGACAAGTATCGTTCGTTTCTATATCTGTCTCTCTTTTTCCATGAACATAAGCACAAGGCTTGGTTACGGAAAGGGCGGGCTTGGTCATGGAAGAAGAGAGACAAGTATCGTTCGTTTCTATATCTGTCTCTCTTTTTCCATGAACATAAGCACAAGGCTTGGTTACGGAAAGGGCGGGCTTGGTCATGGAAGAAGAGAGACAAGTATCGTTCGTTTCTATATCTGTCTCTCTTTTTCCATGAACATAAGCACAAGGCTTGGTTACGGAAAGGGCGGGCTTGGTCATGGAAGAAGAGAGACAAGTATCGTTCGTTTCTATATCTGTCTCTCTTTTTCCATGAACATAAGCACAAGGCTTGGTTACGGAAAGGGCGGGCTTGGTCATGGAAGAAGAGAGACAAGTATCGTTCGTTTCTATATCTGTCTCTCTTTTTCCATGAACATAAGCACAAGGCTTGGTTACGGAAAGGGCGGGCTTGGTCATGGAAGAAGAGAGACAAGTATCGTTCGTTTCTATATCTGTCTCTCTTTTTCCATGAACATAAGCACAAGGCTTGGTTACGGAAAGGGCGGGCTTGGTCATGGAAGAAGAGAGACAAGTATCGTTCGTTTCTATATCTGTCTCTCTTTTTCCATGAACATAAGCACAAGGCTTGGTTACGGAAAGGGCGGGCTTGGTCATGGAAGAAGAGAGACAAGTATCGTTCGTTTCTATATCTGTCTCTCTTTTTCCATGAACATAAGCACAAGGCTTGGTTACGGAAAGGGCGGGCTTGGTCATGGAAGAAGAGAGACAAGTATCGTTCGTTTCTATATCTGTCTCTCTTTTTCCATGAACATAAGCACAAGGCTTGGTTACGGAAAGGGCGGGCTTGGTCATGGAAGAAGAGAGACAAGTATCGTTCGTTTCTATATCTGTCTCTCTTTTTCCATGAACATAAGCACAAGGCTTGGTTACGGAAAGGGCGGGCTTGGTCATGGAAGAAGAGAGACAAGTATCGTTCGTTTCTATATCTGTCTCTCTTTTTCCATGAACATAAGCACAAGGCTTGGTTACGGAAAGGGCGGGCTTGGTCATGGAAGAAGAGAGACAAGTATCGTTCGTTTCTATATCTGTCTCTCTTTTTCCATGAACATAAGCACAAGGCTTGGTTACGGAAAGGGCGGGCTTGGTCATGGAAGAAGAGAGACAAGTATCGTTCGTTTCTATATCTGTCTCTCTTTTTCCATGAACATAAGCACAAGGCTTGGTTACGGAAAGGGCGGGCTTGGTCATGGAAGAAGAGAGACAAGTATCGTTCGTTTCTATATCTGTCTCTCTTTTTCCATGAACATAAGCACAAGGCTTGGTTACGGAAAGGGCGGGCTTGGTCATGGAAGAAGAGAGACAAGTATCGTTCGTTTCTATATCTGTCTCTCTTTTTCCATGAACATAAGCACAAGGCTTGGTTACGGAAAGGGCGGGCTTGGTCATGGAAGAAGAGAGACAAGTATCGCTCGTTTCTATATCTGTCTCTCTTTTTCCATGAACATAAGCACAAGGCTTGGTTACGGAAAGGGCGGGCTTGGTCATGGAAGAAGAGAGACAAGTATCGCTCGTTTCTATATCTGTCTCTCTTTTTCCATGAACATAAGCACAAGGCTTGGTTACGGAAAGGGCGGGCTTGGTCATGGAAGAAGAGAGACAAATATCGCTCGTTTTTATATCTGTCTCTCTTTTTCCATGAACATAATCACAAGGCTTGATTATGGAGGAAGAGAGAGACAGGTATCGTTCGTTTCTATATCTGTCACTTTTTTTTCCACAAACATAATCACAAGGCTTGGTTACGGAAAGTGCGGGCTTGGTTATGGTGGAAGAGAGACAGGTATTGCTCGATTCTATATCTGTCTCTCTTTTTCCATAAACATAATCACAAGGTATGGTTACGGAGAGGGCAGGCTTGGTTACGGAGGAAGAGAGACAGATATCGCTCGTTTTTACATCTGCCTCTGTTGGATATAATGTACCAGTGTACCTGAAAATTCGGGAAAGGGTTTTCTCAGGTAGTCGCTCCTAAGAAGTCAAACTTTAGCCGGCTCGGACGTAAGGTATACTCTTACTTGTACTTTGAGGGCTTCTATAAGGCGATCCTGGTGATGTTCTATCGTTTTAATATCCGTGATGCCGGGCCTGTCTGCCGTAAGGAGGATGACCGCAGAAAAAAGTCCCAGTTCTGTATCATTGAGTGAAAGCGCGTTGAAAGTGTTAGCGAAATGGATTAAAGCTGATACAAAATCGGTCTGAAATCAATTTTTTCATTCACTTTTTGTTCTGGGATGAGGGTTAAATTTAACGTTAAGGGTTGCGTTTCAGATTATTATCGTAAGCACTATTCCTACGAAGGGCAAATCGAAATTGGAATGTAATGGAATGATGCTTATGTTATTAAGCCACCTGTGGCCCACATGAAGTATCATATATTAATAGACCATCAACAGGTGTTAAATAATAAATATTAGTATTCCAGAAAATATTTAGAAAACGCAAACCACTGAATTCCTAGCGGAATTCTAAGACATTTTTCCTTTTACAGTTTTATGAACCGATGTATAATTATCGAGTAATTAGTTACACGAAAATTACAATCATTCCAACACGAGCAGCACATTCTCATGCTACAAAACGGCGTGTTCTAATTGGTTGATCATTGATGTGACATTCAACTGATATTAGTTTTAGATCTAATCATCGGATCAAAAAACTGTAAAGGAAAATAAGTTTGAAATTTTCAAATAATCGAATGATATACTACGTTTTGATTTGGGAAAAAAAAAATGTTTTGGGAAGGATTTTGACCATAAAATACTTACGTCGTACATGATTTCGAGTTGCTGCCTAGTAACCGTTGTGCCATCATCAAACATCATCGACGTGTTGGACGTTAGCTTCGACACATGACTGAGCCACACTTCGAAAAAACCTATTTTAATGAGTATCAGTTGATCATCTTGACCAAGATCACAGAAACCGGGAACACGCTTCGCAAATTCGACCACCCTCTGAACGCAGGGCGTCACATTTGCTGCGAACTGTTGAAAATACCAACACTTTTGCTGTTCCGCTGAGTCCACCGTAGACGTTGCAACCTTGGCAAACAAACATTTTTTTGAAAAGGTGAAGCAAGTCCTCCACATATTAAAAAACATTTTTAATTTATTTTTTCGTTAAAACAAATTACACCGTTTGATTTTGTGCGAAATTCTAAGAATTTTTTTCTTTTACAGTTTTTCAATCCAATGCGTAATTATGGAGTTACTAACGGTCAAAGTTTAGAATAATTGACCAATCAAAGCAAGCCTTTCTTGCTGCAAGTTTTTGCTTCAACTGTTTGCCTTGCAGCCAACAATGCGCTCTTTGATTGGTCATCGTTAATCGTTAATAACTCTGTAACTATGCACACGATCAAAAAACTGAAAAGGAAAAGAAATCTTAGAATTCCACAAAGAACACGTTGAGATAGGTATTTCACATTACATAGTAATAAAAAATGATATTTGATGTTGCAAAAATCGAATATAATAAAGATTATTATTATTCATTTACCTCATTATCGTTTTCGGAAGAGTCACTTCCGATACCCGATGGAAACATGAGCGGCTTCCTGACTAGGTTCCGCGTGTTTTCCTCGGTATAACCGCAGTTGGCGTGGTGCGCCTGAGACACGGTGAGTATGACATCGTAGACGGCGAGGTGCTTGGTCTCCATGTCTGGAGATTGATCGGCCGCGTCAGTTGTCGATACTCGATTATTGCCGTCTTCGGAACTCCGTTCTCGCGATCGCTTAGGCACGCGTCCGTAGCGTACAGCTAAAACAACGCACAACACATGACACTATTGTAGCAATATATTAATTATTAGTAAACGAATGATTTTACGTGAATCCTACTGCTGGACAACGCAATAAGTGTATTTTATTTTACGATTACTCGGTGGAGTCGTCTGATTATTTTCGATGCACTACCCACATAGGTACTTATATAGGTACGTAGTCGTAAAAAAAGAAACAACACCCGAAGTGGGACAGCTGCCACCCTCAGCTGGTACTAAATGACGACCTTCATAAAGTCGTAATTTTTGAAAACGGTTTCCAGTTATAATAAGAAGAGAATGGATATTTATAACCTAACTCCTCCAACCCTTCCCTTTCCACCCGATCAGCCAAGAACTCCATTTTGTTATTGAACATTGGTTTGGCCTGCATATGAATTTGACATGGTCGCCTTCTATTGAAGTTTATTTTTTAACTTTAACACATAACTGTGAATTTTTACGTCTTCAAATGTTTGGTTTGGAGCACGGCTCTGTAGGGGTAGGCGCTGGTGAAAAAAAATTTAGAAGCGTTTGGTGGATGTAGAAAGAGTAGAAGAACAGCGAGATATGTTAGTAGGACGCTTTCTCAGGCAGCAGAGCTAATTTGAGAGATATTGAAAGCTGCATGAAAAGTAAAAATGGGCAAATAGTTACAGATATGTAGGTTGTTGTAGTTTTTGAGAAATGCAAGGGTTGACTCAAGAAAGAAGAAGCGGAAGTGCGTATTCAACCAGTCTTCAGGCTGAAAACCTTATGATGATGAAGAAATGTTTAGTTTAAGTTTCTGAATCATTCATATTTTCGGCAATATCGTCAAGCAATCTTGAATCCATTCCTTGTGACTTGTGATATTTTATTCGAATCATAAAACAAATGGTTCAAGCTCCCCTTTCACTCAAAATATTGTAATAACGTCAACCATGATGCAGGACATACAAAAGTTTCCATCAGCTAAACGAAAGATGAGGCAGAGAACACTGGAAAACTTTTGGGTATTTCATTCCCACCAGCCAGTAATGCTGGTGGGCTGACAGTCCCTCCGGACTACGCCGGAAGGTAGGGTGGAAGGCCCTCTTCAGCCTCCTTTCAGGAATCGTGAGAATGGGTGGGTGGTGGTTCGGGTGAGAAAGATGAGACGGACGAAACGAAGACAGAAGAAAATGAAAGATTATCTGTGAAATATTACTGACTACAGAAAAACTTGGAACCAGGAATCGAACTGTCGTCTTCCCGAATGCTAAGCAATGGTCTAAGCCTCTGGGCCATGGTGAAAGAACTGGGTTAATATTGTTTAATTCATATTATGTGGTTAATGAAACCCTACAAACGGCAGGGTAAACGCCATCTGTAGTACAATGCTACATTCGATGGAATTCAATATGTTCAACAACGTCCATTTACATAGATGGTGGTATCTACTTGCAGAACTGAATCCATAGCGTAGCTTACAATACAACAAGATCGAAATCGCGATCCGCGTCTGGCAGTTTGGCAGATTACTGACACCATGAACTTCTTTGTTATGAGTTTAATGTCAAATTCTAAAAATTTTTATTAGTAGCAGCGTAACTTCTAGGAACCAAAATGGGAAGCAACACTTTCAAAGCCAAAAATTTTAACACATTCAACTCAGAAACGTGGTGTTTCAATTACATCAAACCATGTATGCACAGTGAAAAACAAATCACTCATCTCAGCTGAGCAAACTCAAACCGGAAAAATTTCATTAATTAATCCTTTATTATTACCAGGAAGTATCTACAATAATAGCGAATAACGATTCCACATATGTATTTATTTTATGTGCCTTCCTGAATAGTCGGCTTTGGAAAACGTTTCTATTCAATTAATATAAATCTTGAACAAGCGCTAGAAATGCGCGGATACAAAATTGAGCAGCGACTCTAACAGATGGCTAAAACGTGCAAGTAGAAGTAATACGTACATAGGAAGACAACGAAGTAACGAAGGAGGAAAGATGAGGGGAGAAGATGGGACGGACGGGGAGTGAACAGAGGAAGGTTCTGGTTAATGCTCTAGCATAAAGAATAGTATGCTTACAGTCTCTAGACATTCCAACAGCTAGGCATTTCTTGAACCGACAATATTGGCAACGATTTCTATTCAGTCGTATTACAAGGCATTTACCATCACGCAGACACCTATATTCGATTTGTTTTTGAATGCTCCTCCTAAAGAAACCCTGAAACAAAAAAGATAATTGTTAAAATTTTGGTGTACATAGTATAATGTTACGCAAAACAGTCATCAGTTCTAGTTGTGCTCCTGCTACATGCCATACGTAAGAAACGTTCCCACTGTCGAATTAAATAGAATAATCCTTTCGAATGAGGTTATAGGTTGATAGCTTTTAATATTAATGTGAAAAATCATCTAAATTTTATCCACTACAAATTATCTCAAATTAATGAGGAAAATTGTTGTCGCTGTCACACCCTCGTCGGGAATGGAACCCGGAACATTAGTTCGACAAATCTGTGACTTAATAAGTATGTTTCGAAGTTGTTGTTGTTGTAGCTTAGTGGATAGAGCATTGGTGCGTAAACCAAAGATCCCGGGTTTGATTGACATTGCACCACAATTTAGAAAAAAAAATGGTGGATGCGCCTGCTATCGTATATATTTTACGGAATTATCAATTCAAATTAGTCTTATTTAGACAAACAACTGCTTTTGTAGTTAGGCTTTTCCATCTGTAGATAGTTCTCAATTAAACAACCCTTAATTTCTGTTTGTAAATCCACTGTGTTGATATACTGCTTCATAAAAGAACCATATGTCAAAAATATTCATTTGAAATCATTGTAACTACGTACTTTTCTGATTTTCCGTAATGATTACAAAATTTGCATTTTGTGCACTGATAGATCGATAAATGAAATATGAAACCTATCGACAAAAATTTTCATACAACTAATAAGGTCCATGTGTATTTTTTAAAATTTCTAATTCATCCATGTATATACAATTGAGAAGCTCAAAAGTCTATCCTTGTTTTTCGTATATAGTTCATATGTATAGAAATTGACATTTTTTTATGTTCAGTAAATCAAAAAGGGTAACAAATTTATGTCAGTTTTGTTATGAAGAATTTTTTCTTAATGAGGGGCAACTTTTCCAATAACTCAAAAACGTAACTTTCAACACTGATATACTATGAAAACAAACAATATTGCTTATGGAGTAGTACCATGAGGCGAGATGGGTTGGTAGGATACCTTCTCAGACATGAAGGACTAGTTAGACACACGTATTAGAAATAAAAATAAGAGTTAAAACAAGCAGATGTACGTGAATCTAAATTAGACTACTGTTCAGGAATATTTAAGAGATATGGGATGTTCTAGTTTTACGATTCTGGCTTAGGATAGACAAGAGTGGAGATGAGTGTTCAATCAGTTTTAGGACTAACAACCTTATTCTTTGTTTACTTTCTGTAGCGATGTGCCCTTCAATTTGACCGGCGCAACGTAAAAATGAACAGCACTAGGCCAGAAAAGGAAGGAGACAACTCTCAGCCAAACTCTTAACCGGTAAGGAGCGTATAACCCGTACAGTTATACACGGAAAAATTGACCATTTCATCCACTACAATTGCATTGCTTAAATGTGCTGTTATTGGTATCATTTACTATTGAAAATATCAACGAGATGTTTATTTATATTTGAAGACATATTAAAGGCTTTAACGTTTGTTTTCCACTCGCACTACTATTCATGATTGAAGTAAACTTTTGGCAGGTACTGTATGAAAAAGTATGTTTAATGAACAAGAGTCGAGAGTGTAATGAGCTTTTTTCTCCCTACCTACGGTTTTGCCAGCGGGCATCCAAGACATTGGAAGGGGCACATCGCTAGAGAAAGTAAATGAAGTATAACCACGATCCCAGTTTTTCAAAATATTACCCTTTCTTCACAAACTTGATTGTTTTTAACAAGAGCGAAGAAATGAAAATTCTGCTTTTACAGATTGATGATGTACGTAGATTATATAACAGGAAAATCTATTATCATATTACATAATAGTGAATCCATGTATGTAAGTAGAAGAACTGGTTATACGTGAAATAGTGCAAACAAAAAAAAAGTAAAAAGGACGAAGCAGTTGTCATTTGCGAATGGCCGAGGCTCAAATAACTAACTTTACATACATATTATGAGTTTCCTCTATATAGGAAACAAGTTATGTATAGATGCATACACATATCGCAGAACGAGTCTGTACAGAAACAACAAAAAGATGAAAGGTAAATATAGAGAGACATGTATGTACGAGAACGGAAGTGTAGACACAAGCAAAGAGAGAACACTACTTAAGTCCCGTTTATAAGTCGGAAATACTTTCTATATACGCATGTGTATATATTTATACCAGAGGCATCCAAATGAATTTACACCATGTCCCATACGACCATGTTATGATTAATATGGGCGAAAATGATCGTTTCGCGTTCTGATCAGCTAATTCACAAAAATAATGATGAGCAAAACTGGTCTTGTTCTTGCGAAAATGTAAGACCAAGATGAAGACCAACATTTTCTTTATACTAGCAAGTCCAAAACCAAGGCCGAACGAATAAGACCAAGACTAAAATCTGGACAGAATGTGAAAGACGAAGACCAAGTACGAAAGATTAAACGAAAAATTATTACTTCTGGTGGATTTAATATATATTCTTTTCTTGGAATAAAACATTTTTAGCATTTGAAGTTTTCAATTTGTTTTGCTAGATTTTAACATCAAATAAATAAAAAAAGTAACTGTACCACTGTTTGAAAAAGGGATCTACAAGAATGTCTTAGGACTAAGTGTTGTTTGTTCCTATGTCTAGATAACACATGGTTGAAATATAGACAAACTAATTTTTTTTCGATATCTTTCAATTTTTTCATGTGGATTGTACTATTTTGTTTGCCAAAAGGTCAATTTGTGCGTTGGAGTCAGGACCAATTTTATGCACTGGAGGAAGAGTGTGAAATGTGGTGTTACAGGCGAATGACGAGGATAACGTGGGTAGAAACAGAGGACTCTATGGAAGTAGGTATATCACATATTAGGTAGTTTCAATTTCGGTTTGGCCAGTAGTTTTATCAGAAGCGCCCGTGGGGGTGGTAATGACATAATCATCATCATCATCATCATAAGGGCGTTAGTCCTAAGATTGGTTGGTCACGTACCTCCATTCTTTCCTATCCTGAGCTAAACTTCGCATTTCCTTAAAACTAGAACAACCCATATCCTTAATTATTTGCGAACAGTAATCTAATCTAGGTCTACCTCTACCCCTCCTAACTCCTGTTTCTGCCTCTAATATGTCTCTGACTAGATCTTCATGCCTGAGAAGGTGTCCTACCAACCTATCTCGCCTATTTTTTATTCACTTCCATCTGTTCTCCTATTATTTCCAATATCTCTTCATTTCTAACCTTTTATACCCATGTTATCCTCATCATCCGCCTATAACAACCACATTTCGAACGCTTCTAACCTTTTTTTTTCCGACGCACCCACTCTCCATGTTTCGCACCCGTACAATGCCGTGCTCCAAACATACACCTTTAACAACCTTTTTCAAATTTCTAAATTAATCGTTCGCGAGCATAGAAGTGACTTCTTTTTATTAAAGGCGACACGACCCTTCGTTATCCTCTGCTTTATATCCCTACTACTCCTTCCATCCTCACTTATCTGACTTCCTAGGTATCTAAAATCAGCCACTTCTTCTAATTTTTCGTCTCCTATCTTTATATTCGCTCTTTCCCTACTTTTTCTTCCTTTGCATACCAGTATTTTAGTTTTACTTTTATTTATTTTTATACAGTACTGATCTGTCAGTACCGCTTCCATTTTATTTAAAGCTATCTCTAGGTCCTCCTTGCTAGATGCTAATACTGCTATATATCTGCAAATCTAAGCATACTAATCTTTTACCTTTGCACATCTATCCCTACAGTTGTAAATGACATAATGACCTCCTTATAACGTTATATCAATTTTATGAAATCTGCAAAAGTAATTTTGTTTATAAATGTTTAATTTAACCCCCACCCCACCCCCATGAGACAAACTGTATCATCCAATTAGTCGTATGTCACGACGACAATCACCAACATAATGAATGTTGCATATGTATAGGCAAATACAACTTTTCAGTTCTTTGATCACCGTAATAAGAAAAATATTTCCAGTTAAGCGAGTTTTCGTTCCATGTAATATCTACCCGTTTACGGATATTCATATTGACAAAGTATTGCGCAACTGCGTTTAATAACACATCCTTTATTTGTTACATATGTTATTATGCATTTAATCAGGAGGAAGGAGAAATGGTTAACGTAATACGCAATATGTGGTAAAGTAAAAAGGGTGTGTGTAATAAAAATTGCTAACCACGGCGATATTTGACACTCATTTATACTAATTTGATGTTATATAACTAAGAGAAGGCAATATACACACAAATTGACGGCGATTTGTCCCTAAACAAGAACTGAGGAGATGCAGAACACATTGAAATATTTTGAGCCAAAAATTCATTAAAATATGTAATTATAATAATTAGATAAGCATCTACATAAGTCGACTGTATATGTAGTAAAGTAAGTACTTTTTATAGAGATGTGCAAAATGGTTTTTTAAAAGTATTTAAATACAAAATGCAAATACTTTTTTGATTTGTTATTTCAAATGTGAAATACAAAATAGATTTCCAACAAGAACAATAACGCCCCCAGGGAACGTTAGAACCTTCCTGGGGGGCGCTGGCCATTCCAGAGACAATTGAAGTACCTTGGGGTAATCAAGAAGGACGCCTTTAGCATACCTATCTATTTAGGAAGATAATATAATTTTATACATAGTTTCCCGTTTTGCCTTTCTTTCCTGTGTTTATCCTTATCCTAACTAATATAAATGTGCGAATGTGAAATTGTTTGTTTGTATATCATTTCATGCCTAACTACTCAGCCGATCATCATACAATTTTGTACACACATTGTCAAGAGTATACGAAATGACATAAGGTACCTTATATCCAGAAGAAATACTGTTCCTGAGGGATACAAAAAATAGTTTCAAATAGACGTCAATGACGTGTAGGACATCAACGCACGTGAAACCGCGGATAAAACCTATCATGAAGTTTTGTACACACATTGTCGGAGGTACAGAAAAAACATATCCAAAATAAAATAATGTTCCCGAGGGATAGAAAAAATTTAAAAGTGAACGTCGATGATTTTGACACATGCATAGGACATAAACGCAAGCGAAGCCGCTGGTAAAACCTATCATAAATTTTTTCACACACATTGTTAGGGGTACCGAAAAGACATAGGGTACATTTTATACAAAATAAAATAGTGTTCCAGAAGGATAGAAAAATCACTTTTATGTAGTCGTTGATGATCTTTGACACGTACCAAAGACATCAACGCGAGCGAAACCCAGGGTAAAACCTAGGAAATATATAAAATATATAAAAACAAATGGGTTCCCACATGTATATAGACACATATACGACCAAAGAGACAAAATCAGATGACATTCAAAAGAGCACAAAACACGAAGACAAAATCAAATCAACTGTAACTGTACGGAAAAGGTGGTGACTAGCAGCTCCGAAATATAGTTAAAAATCAGATTAATTCCGCAATAAAATAAATGCAATAATCAATTTTAGATTTAAAACAGATAAATTTTTTCAACTCAGGTGTGTTTATACAAATAAGAGAAAGAAACCGATTTATTCACAAACTCCATAAATGTTTTAGGCATTTTCTTTCATATAAATAAATAACGCGGTTGCGGAAAGTGAGAGGGGAATATAAAATAAGAAAATTAAGTAAAGTTTGGTGGGTTGAAAGTCCATCGGTTTTGAGAAAAATATATTTGAAAACAGTCAAGATTTTGGTAGGATTTTGGCATGTTTGTTAGAGTTTTTGGAGGACAATAAAATAAACACTAAATAACAAATTATGAAAATTGGAAAAACTTTGGCGGTTGTTGTAGAACAAACAGAATAGCTCAAAACCCCAACGCCAAAACACGACACTGTAGTTGTCCGAAGCACTTTTCGGTAACAAAGTTACCTTCTTCAGGGACTGAAGTAAACTAAACCTAAATGAGAACTAATCCTAATTTATACTGATAGTTGTTAAGGTTCAGTGAACATGACCC